CTCCCATTTTTTTTACCCTGATGGCCGTTTTGTTTTCCATTCCAACCAATTCATCTCGCAAGCTTGTCCCCAGATCGAATCATTCGGCTCCACCCCGACCCAACGCGGCTTAGTGCACTGGGCCAGCGGGGCTGCTGCCTTCCTCTTCGGTCGCTAGCGCTGAGATTGTGGAATAAGCCTTATTCCACGAGTGGCGATTGGCCTTCGCCGCATTTCCTCCTCCAGTCAGCCAGATTCTTCGCGCCCTCATTGGCTCTGTCGGAGATTCCATTTCGGTCTTCCGAGCTTCTAGTATCATGCTGGCCGTCGCGCTATTTTACTCACTCGGCACTGGGTGTCTGGGTGAGTTTCTCATTTTGAGTCTAGGCCGAAAACGAAGCTTCTGTATCAAACTAATGGGGAAACCAGAAATCAACAAAAAGAAAAAGAAAAAGCAGAAAATGAGACGGACAAATACGTAGTTCACTCGTCTGCCGCTTAGACATCCGGACTAGTGAGAACTAGGTTGGCTGCATAAGAGTCCGGACTAGCAACACTCCCGGCGTTTCTCCTAAAACCCACCGGAATTGTCGTTATCTCACCCGAGCGACGGGGCTGAGCTGATGAATGGTTGGATGATTGGATCTATCCTTTAGTCGTCAGTTTACAGGTAGACTAGACTAAGCTACGTCCGGACCTTTTGGATGTCCTCTAGACTGACATATTTCGATTTGCCTGGACGGAGAGATAATCAATCCCGTTCCAGCCCAGGCGTGTTGCGATCATTGACGTTTAATGGCATTGTTATTCAAGTCAATCAGTCCAAACCTCCTAATCTGATAATCATGCTTTTTTTTCCTTGTCCAGCCGATCGGGATTGTGGTAGGTACCTGTTATGAAATCAACATTTGATCATCATTCCTAGTATACATAGATGCTTCAAGCGTCGATAGTCCATAGGAGCGAGTGCCAGGTCCAGCTTCCCGCCTGTGTTAATCTACTCCGTATTTCGTACTATCTTCCGATTTAGGTACATCTGCACCTGCTAATCTAGGCAACTGATTATCTTGTCAGATACGTAGATAGCTCTTAGACGGACTCGTCCGAGATCAGTCAAAAAAAAAACCCTTAAATCTATTCCAATCCAGACTGATTGATATTTCTACTGTTTGTTAGTCGACCCGCCAGTTCATGGCGTGATTGGAGCCGCTTTTTTACCCTTCCTGTCAGAAAATGAAACAGGACTGAAGGGGGGGGGGGAAAAGGCAACCCGCACATTCTGTATGACCTGGCGTGATTGATATCATGATGCGATATGATATGATCTGATCTCTGATGATCTGATACGGTTACATTACCAAAACAGATCCTAACCCTGGTTCGTTTGGTCCCTTTTCTTTTTGCTTTACGGAACTCCCTCGCAAAACAATCACCTGCTAGGTAGGCAGCGCTGACGCTACCTAAAATTAGGTTACGGTGTACATAGTTTACTAGTTAGTGGTTCCCAACCCATCATCTTGTATATTATTAATCTAGACTCTCTCGGCTTTTAGTTTCTTCGCTCTCGGACCATAATTGCCGTCCTTACACATTTTCGAGCAGGGGTTGCAGCTGAATGTACTCCGTTGCACGTACTGTAAGTCTGTAACCACCGGAGAAGGGGCAAAGGGAGAGCGACAGAGAGCGTGGCAGCAGGGAAAAGTTGCCACCACAACAGCAGCGTGCGTGCCAAAAATACGTACGTACGTTCTGTACTATGCTCACTCAGCCTTCCACCTTCCCCTCTTCCCTCCCTTTTCGCCTTGCCTCGGTTCCCGGGGATAAGAACGGACTTTCCCCCCCTAAATAATATCCCGAGTTTCATGGGGTTCGGACATGGAAGTAAACTGCGGAGCGATGAATCAGACAGACAGACAGTAGGAGGATCTAGCCAAGCTTGGGTCATCATTACTTACCAGCTATCTAGTCATACAGCGACAATGGATCGCTGTCCGCTTAGACTACTTCACATCGGCTGTCAGCCGTTGCCCAATATCTTCCTTGGCTATGTGGGGGAGGCGTTACGATCCCAGCCTTTCGAAAGCGATAGGCGTGGGGGGGGGGGGGGGGAGGGGGAGTAGGCGTGGGAAGTGGCTAATTAACTCGCCTGCCTGTACCCCAAATCTCGATCCAAATCAGGGTAAAGAGAGAGACAGTCAAATTACGTAGGCGCCCAGCCATGTGGTGCTGCTTCAGCTGGGTTCTTGTCTGCAAGGCTGGTTACAAAAACGCAAGGCGAATCTGAATCTGGGATGAAGGCAGCAGCAATCAATTAGGTTCTCCGTAAGCGATATCCGATCCAGC